GCACACTCCATCTCGAAGGCCTTGCCCTCCACGCACATGCGGTACTTGCCGCAGTCGGAGCGGGTCGCTAACGGCGACGCAAAGAATCCATACTGGGTCTTGCACTCCGCTGATGACACGGCTCGCTCTGCAGAGAACATATAAACAACAGGTCACGGTATTGTTTGCATGTAGACTGTAGTATAGAGTAAGATAAGAGCAGGCATGTAGGTACGTACGAGGTTGGTCGTTGTATTCGCACTGGGCGTCCGAGGGATACGCGCACGGGTAGGTTGGCCACTGCACGTCGCGCATGAAGTACAGCCCGTCGGGACACGTCTTGTACGTCGCCTTGTACGCCTGCAACGTTCAACATTCAACATGTACATCAAACTGATATAACACAGCATATTTTTAAACAGTCACGTTAAAAGCGGCGTTACACTCACGTTACACTCTACGTAGGAGTCGCAGCTGCCCTGTATCTTATAATACGTGTTGTACTCCTTGCATACCTCGTCACCCACAGCGCCATTTTGTATTTCTTGCACCGCGACTGAAAGTTACAAAAAAAAATCAAGTCTATCAGGATATAACATGAAGTAAAAAAAACCTTTATTTGCAAATTTTTCGAAGTATTTTATGTATTATAATAATAATTTAGAAACTTACACGATGCCGAACACAAAGCAGCCAAAATAATGAATAAGTACATTTTACTTCTAAATTATCTTCGCAAGAAACACAAATGAATAATGATGGTTGTATTGTAAAGCAAACTAATTTATACGGAATTATCTAATTAGTTTTATTGCATATTGCATTTCGAAATACGGTTATTTTGACGGTAATTAATATTAATTACTAACGGTAAATAATATTATTTACGTAATAAACAAGAGACGAGACAATAGAAATGGTACTTAGCGATAATTCCTTACTGACGTGACTAAAAAATATTTAAGGGCAATCCTATATCCCATGACGCCCTGACTAAGAGATACCGAATAGATTCCATTCAATCAATAACATAGTCTACAGGACAGGCATAATTTTCAAAAACGATAAAGAACAAAAATATTTTTCATTAGTCATCACAGATATATGCAAAAAAAAGGGATGCCATATAATCGTTAACTATGAGTTATATCCTATATACAAATATAAATAATGGTAATTTCGTAAGCATCAAAATTCTTTGTTTGAAAAAAATTAGCGGTCCGCCGCAGCAAGCTACATTCCAGGTAAATCCAGACAAAATCTTACCAGTCGTTTCGGAGATTACTCGGTACAAATTCGAGCTTTTATATAGACAGACAGATGTACCAAAAAATAAAAAAAAATGTCTTTCGTCATCAGCAACGCAAACCCATCATGGGTTCGAAATATAATTTATTTTCGATGCAGACACTCCAGTTTCATTAATTTGTAGTCCTCTATTTGCAGTATAATTGTCTACATTTCGCTGAAAAAATACTTAATTTTACAATTGTTACAGCATTTTCTTGTAAGAGTTTCATTGAAATGTGAAGTATAGAACAAGTTGTTGACGAGAATTTGATAACTTAATTGGATGGTTATTGCCAGCGTTGAACAATTTTTTCGCTTGGCACAGGACAGGAAAGGGTTCGCTGAGCTGACGGCCAACCTCCAGTAATGGAGAGGCATTAGAAGAAGAAGAAGAAGAATTGGATGGTAACAATTTCTGGTGTCTTAAAACCAGAGGGTTGTTTGTTTGGTTTTTGCTTTGCATATCATAAAAATAAAAATAATGGGTAATTTAGTTTTGACTTATATATTTATAGTAAATAAAAATGTAATACTTTGTCATTTGAACTTTGTGCTTTGAAAACTTGTTGAGTTGTTGTAAAGTTCCAATGTACTTCTAATGTTTTTACTTATATCTTGTAATAAAAACCGTAAGCTATTGAGCGCAAAATTACCGTTTAATATAAAAACATATTATCTATGTTTTGTCAGAGACAAAGACTGGAAACGATGATGAATATGTTTTATACAGAGAATTTGGCCTCAAAAACTAACCTTCATGTATTATGCCTATTAAGATTAAATTGTGTACTCATAAAAATAAATCTTACGACAATATGTAATAATTAAAAATATATTTTGAATAATAATTTATTAAATGAAGAACATTTTTAATCATAAAAGTATTGCTATAAATTAGCTGCGTGCACTGCAAGCGGGCACGATGTCGGAGCGCTCGCAGCGCTTGCTCTGGAAGTTGAAGCCGAGTCCCGACGGGCAGACCATCAGAATGTACACTCTGTTGCGGCACATCAGGAACTGGTTGCAGCCGCCCACACTAAAGGGGTAAATGTCACCGTTCGAGCAGTCAGTCCTGGGAGCGGCCGTCGAGGTAATAGGCGCTACTGTCGTAGTGGTGGTGGTTGTGGTCGGGGGCCTTTTCGTGGTCGTTGTTGTCGTTGTCGAGGGTGTCGCCTGCTCGATGCAGGGTACTCTGAGAGCAGTTGTGATGACGCATGCGCTGCTGGTCCTGACCTCCTGCTGGGCACAAGGCTCGAGCGTGGCCGGCTGACACGGCGGCAGAGTCGAAGGCGGAGGTTTCCGTGAGTTCTCACAACCGCATGCTGGCTTACCATTTACTAGAAAATAATAAAAACCAATAAATAAAGACATCGAAAGTACAAAATATGAAGGTACAATATATCATAGATAACTTACCAGATTGCATGGCCAAAGCCAGCAAAAGAACGGAGAACAATGTTGTCTTGAACATGATTATTGTTGTAGTGCTGTGAAGCTCTGATGTGAACTGTGACTCTACTTGAACTTACACTGTATTTATACTAATTAGAATAATTGCACATTTTTGCAATAATAATTACAATCGATTTTTAAACATTTAAATGCGTTAACGGTGAATCGTTACGTTTTTTAAATTCCAAAAGTTTCGGTAATATATAATTAATGAATTTAATTATTACAGAGACTTTAAAGAATATCTTTTTTGTACAGAGATAAAGGTTTTCAACTTATGTTATATCAGAAAAATAATCTATGCAGCTTTGCTTGGGTGAAAAAACAAGAAAAAAAACCAATACCTAGATTCCTCATTGGAACAAAGAAAGTATTTTTTTATTATCATAAGGTGGCAAACAAGCTAGTGGTCACCTGAAATTGCTGAAAAATCGAAGCGACTGTTGCCTACAGGTCTACTTCTAATGGACGGAGGAGAGGATGCACAGAAAGGAAATATTTTCCCTTCCCGTGCATACTCTAATCCGTAAAATCCACTTCCACTTCCCATACTTTTCTTATATAAAAAGGGTGGGAAGGGAAAGAAGACTGAAATTAGGTCTCCGGTACGACACTCATCAGACGAAACGTGGAATTTCTTTCATTTTACGCCTGTCTTCTGTGTGGTCGTGGTACCGGACGAACCGACCAATTCGTGTGTATGTACATAGATGTTAAAACGAGCTCTACCACTGTTAAAAAAGAACTTCGATTCCAAAACTATTAAAAAAAATGTTTTTTACATTTTGATTGTTCAAACGCTTCAAAAAAGTTTTGGACTATTATCCTTTGGGTTGGATTCAGTTAGGGTTTGGAAATTGATTTCCTTAATGTGAATACATTTCTTCAACTTAGTCAGATAATACAGTAACATCTTATTATTAGAGGGAACCATGCCTCGACTGCGGAAATCGTACATTTATGATAGAAAATAGTACTATGGATTTAACTTCCAAGATTGCAAAATATAGTAAATTTAATATATTATGGTACTCAAATTTTTTTTCTCAAACAATGAAAAAAACAATTATATAATAGTTGCAAGTCAAAGTTTGCCAGATTGTTGTACTTAATAAACAGGAATTAACTAAGGCGGATTTTATTAAAGGACACTTCTAATATTATATACTTAAGAATAAATATTAATCATCATCAGATCACTATACGTCCCCACCGAGGGGCTCGGAGCCTACCCTAAGTTAAGGGTGATTAGGCCATAGT